AGACAATTCTAAAAATAAAGAAACTCAATGAAAAAGAATTGTTAATAACTGCTAGTATCCTCCATGAGGCGTTTGTAAAAGAAAAAGTCATTTTGAAAATGATTGTTAGTTTAACGGAAAACCACAGTACCGTAGCTGTATAAAATTTGGACATGAAGAAAAATTTTGTCAATTCAAACAAAATCATCGAGCAATTTTTTCTTAAAAAATGATATAGAATGAAGTCTATTTTATGTCTTCAACAAGGATGTATCTGAAGAGAAATTAGATACATGGTATCTGGATAGTGGTTGCAGTAATCAAATGATGAAAGATGAAAGTATTTTCTACAGTACTGATAAAATAAACACAAAAATAAAAATTGGCAATAGAAATTTCATAAAGGCAAATGCACTATTGCCGTTGATACAAAAAAAAGGCAAGAGATACATCAATGAAGTTCTCTTGGTCCCTAAAATAAATCAAAATCTACTCAGTGTAGGTCAAATGATGGATAAGGGATATATTTTACATTTTGAATGAGATTCTTGCACGATCTATGACAAGAAAGAAAAATCCCTTGTAATTGCAAAAATAAAAAAAGGGAGAACGGATGCTTCCCAATCCAATGGAGATACGCAAACAATGCGGCAATGACGACACAAGTGGACGAGTTATGTCTTTTCACTTAAATATGTCTTTTCATCTTCATCTTCTCAATTTATCAAAAATTCGAGTTATGTCTTTTCACTTAAATATGATTTCTTGTAATTTCGATATATTAGACTAGTTTTATACATTGTTAGGATGAAATGAACCCTTATTATGATATTTTTAGTTTTTAATTAATTATTTTGACTTTAATTTGATTTGATTTGTGGATATTTATTATCGTTCTTTTCAATTGTTTGGTCACCAATAAATTTTATTGTTATTGAGATAGACAATAGGGTTTAAACACAATATAATAAATATTATAAGGCTCGATAGAGGATATATATATACACACACATATATGGTTTTAATAGGGGTTCTAACACTTCTCAATGAATTTATCATGTTTGCATCTTTCATCGAGAGATAGAAGGATTACATGAGGGGAATAGATTTGATCGCTATCGAGAGAGGCTTTCAATTAAAATAGGAATATTGACCAACATGAATGATTTCAAATTGTCACTTTAATTGTTACACTAAAAATGGAATAATAAGGGGGATTCGACATCTTAGCAATGCATCTCACATAGTTGTAAAACACATTTACTTACTTTCATTAGTTTAATTGATAATT